GCTGGGCTGACTGGTGGTAGGAGAGGAACTGAATGTTTTTGGCGCTTTTCCCTGGTATCTGATTTTCTTCCTCAGAACAAGGTAGCTGTTAGTAAACTTGGTTCACAATGAGGACAATAAGCCTTGGAGAGGTCTGCCCAGGAGTCAGTCTTCTGGGCCCTTTGGGGTTCAGATTTCATGGCAGGCTCCTGGCGGGCAGAAGTTTGGGAGCTCAGAGAAAGTTGACTGCAAAGAGTGGGAAGCAGTAAGAAAAGCTCAGGGAACAGCCCTCTCACAAGGACTTTTGGAGATGACCTGACACCTAGTGGCAACAAGTAGGAATTACTCCACCATTGGGAAGACTCCAGGGCTGTTGCAGGCAGGTTTTTGGCTTGGAGGCCCTTCACTTACTTGGGGAGAGCAGCGTCAAGGGGTGTCCTGGAGGGTCGGGGGTGGTGGGGGCTCAATTTTAGCTTCTCTGTATCTCCATCATTCCCCAGTAGCTACCCAAGCAAAAAATAACAATTGATTAAAAAACTGCTGCCTTTCCGTTTTTATGCAAAAGATGAATAAACGCATCTTGAGAAAACGTTGCGGCTTTTATTGATCTGTATAACCTACAGTTCATAACAAAATTTGAACTGCATGGCCTCATTATCCTCAGGGTTCCACTCAGACACCAGCAGTGATTGGACACTCACAAGCAGAGGACTTGATGGAGAATTTTATGGATTATAATAGACGTAAAAGACATGGTCCCTGACTTCAAGTGGATTTGATTTATTTGGGGAGTTGCAGCAAAGACATCTACATACCCTGATGGTTGTGGTAGATGTGAGTTTCAGCCCACAAACTCTGTACCACATTTCCTTGTTTTCTTTCCATCATCCTAATTTTGACTCTGAGCCCCTGTGACCACCCAATTAATGGAAATTCAACTTCAGGCTGAACCCTTGAATAAAGCAAGGAAAGGGGAAAGAAAATAAGCTGTGGGGTGGGGGACATAAATTATTTCATATCATGATTCTGCCACATGGGCAGAGTGGCCTCGGCATTACCCCTAGCCTTGGTGCAGCAAAGTAAGACCGAGGACTGGTAACTTGATCCCTAGGTGCCACTCCGGCACCCCACTGGTGCTCTAAAGTGTCAGTTCCTGGAGACCCCCTCAAACAGTCCCAGTTTTCCACCACTTGCCCCAAACAATTGCCAGGTGAATGTGTTTGTTCATTCCATTGGTATTTATTGAGCATTTACTACATGCCAGGCACCACGTGGTGCTACAGAGATGCACGAGACAGCTCCACCCACAAAGACTGCCAAGGTTAATGAAAACCCTTTAAGGTACCACCACCTCCCGCCTCCCCTGCTCTGTGTATGCTGTTTCGACTATTCTTGCTCTTCTTTTGCTAAGCTCCTCATGTCTCCCCAGTTTCCCAAGGAATTTAACAAAGAAATGCAGAATTGTAGGTCCTTACCACAGATGGGAAAGCCTTAATTGCAGCTGTTTCACTTCTCAGGTGGAGCCACGAAGCTCCGCTCGCAGGTGGCCAGGCAGTGCCAGGCCGCAACTAGCAGCCAGGTCTGTCTCTCTCCCGTCCCGGGCTCTCTCCACGTGACCCCTGGGCATTTGTTTCTAGAGGGCCCTGTCCTCATTTCCTGAGCATCTGTTCCCTCTGCCACTGCCTCCCGCCTCTCGGAAATCTCTCCCCTTGACACAGCTTACAATTACTATGACGACTGCTTACTGCACTGACCTCCTCTCCCTGCTCTTTTCCTGCCGCCTAGCAACCCCCTTGCACTCCTAGTTTGTCTTCCTGGCTCTTAGAGAGGCGCTCCCTGGTAGTCGCTGAAACCAGAGGGTGCTCCCCTGATGAAGGGCACACCACCAGCAGCCCAGAGACACCAAGACCAAGCCAGGCTTTATTGGATCGCTGACAGTCTTGGCTTTGGTGAGTGTCCACTGAGGTTTCAGCCAGCTCTCCGCCTCCTCCCTGCCACCATCTGACTTGCCAGGACTTCTCTGTTGCTGAGGCTCCTTTCCAGGCCAGACTTGTTGCTATGGCTTCACCATTTACAAGAAACTTGTTTGAAAGGTAAGGAGATAGTGCTGAGGGCCAACGCAGCCTCAGGGCTGATTGACGAGAATGTTTAGACAAGTTCAACTCCAAGCGAGGCCATTTGTAAACCCATCTCTCAGCTTGGCAGAGCACTAAACACGGGTAAGGTTTGGTGTCAGCAAGGGGATGGAGGAAAGAGCTGGTTTATGTTGTTGGCAAGGGTTTGGCAGTGGATTTAAATTCAGAATATGCACACCCTTCGGCCTAGCAATTCAACTGGGTCTGCTCCACCGGGCCAATGTTAGAGACACACATGTGTACAAACACTGGGTATAAAGGATGTTGGTGGCGGTATTATTTGTAGTAGTAGCAAAGCATTGGAAATAATTTACATGTCCATAAAAATGAGGTTAAATTACAAGACTGCTATACTATGAAATACCATGTTGCAGCTAAAAAGACTGAGATAGATCTAAATGTACTAACATGAAAAGATCACCAGAGGTACTGTAAGGTAAAGCAAGTTCAGAGAAATGTGATGGTATGATTCTATTTATGACAAATAATAGTGTGTGTGTGTGTGCATGCATGCGTGTGTGTAATATAATATACAATATACAATAAAACACATATGTACTCCGAGCTTACCACATGCCAGGTAATGTTCTAAATGCTTTGTAAGCATTAATTTATTTAGTCCTGAACAACACTTATACCATGGGCACTATTATTAGCCCCATAATATAGATGGGGAAACTGAGGCATAGGGAGATTGGGTAACTTGCCCACGGTTCCACAGGAGTGGAGCCGGGATTGGAGCTCAGGTGGTTTGGCCCCAGACCCCATGTTTTTAACCATTATATCACACACATTCACACTCACATTCACACACACACACTCTCGCACACACACACATATTCAGACACTCACACTCATACACTCACATTCACACACACACACATTCACACACACACACACACACACACACACACACACACTTGATTGTAAATACGTGGGAAAAGATACGGAAAAATGTACCTTAAATAGCTCATGAGGGCACTCTGGGAAGCAGAGTGAACCCCTCAGAGGGGGTGAGATAAAAGAGGACCTTCATTTTCTCCTTGCAATACTTCTCTGAACTTAGAATTTTTACAAGCAGATATTATTTGTAACAAAAAATGAAAATAAAAAATTCAGGCAACAATAAAAATGACAACTCTGTTCTTCAGTCAGAACTAATGGAGCTGCAGTATGTGGTCCCCACGGGCAGTTTGAGCTGCCATGAGAGCCCCCCACTCAGCGCCTGCGACTCAGAGGCCCAGTCCCAGGGCCACCTCTTTGATGGCCATGTGACCTTGTCTGCAAAGCGGAAGGATTTGCTGGACCTGGAACCTGGCCTCTTGACCCCTGCCTTGGGCACTTCCCACCAGCATCCCAAGGAGCAAGAGGCACGACTTTCATAAGGGTAGGTGGTGAGGTTCCGGGCAGAGGCACAGGGAATGGGGAGGATGGTGTGCAAGCCTGAGCCATCCTTGAGGGGACCCCTTGCTGGGTGACATGGGGTCCTGTGGCTTTGGAGAGGAGGTCCAGCACGGTAGAGCTGGTCCTGGAACCACACAGACCTATGTTCAAAGGCCACTGCTGCCCCTTTCTTGCCGTGAGCACTTAACTCCTGTGCTTCCCTTCTCTAAAGCACCGTTTCATCACTTATAGCACAGGCGTGGGTGACACTAGCACTGCTGTTGCACGCAATGAGAATTCAGGCACCTGTGCCTGTTTCGTGACTGGCAGAGTACTTGGCACATGGTACGGACTCACGGGTGTTGTTTATCGTTGTTGCCATTATCATAGTCCTTTCCTATCTCTTGAAAGAATTCAGCCTAAGGCACACACTACGTCACCCCCTAAACTACAGCAGAGGCCAATTACCCACAGTTCTCCAACACACCATGCCCAGCTCACACTTCAGTACTTGGTACTTGCTGTCCCTCTGTCCTCCCTTTTTGTCTATGTGACACCCCTGCCTGAGTGACACCTCCTCTTTGGGCTACTGTGGTACCTGGTACACACCTCATTACCTCTCTTATCATGTCAGGGCTTAACTATTTGCTCCCTTGTGTCACCTCCTATCTACTATGAGCACTGTGTCTCCAGAATCTGGCCCCCAAGCCAGCAGCAGGTGGTTGAGGCTGAAGCTTGGCTGAATGAGCTGATGGGAGATGAGGAGGAAGGTGAACAGTGGGGCCAGCCTGGGGACCCAGGGCCAAGGCAGCCCACTGTGCAGGTGCAGTGTAGCTGAGGTGGGGAAGGTCAGATCTAATAAAATGCAGACGGTGTGGCCCCTGGAGCGCAAACCAACCCAGCCAGGGTGCCTTATAGACACCTGAGGACCTGCCTGGGATAGAAGCGGGTGGAGATCAGCCACTGTGCCTGGGCTGCATGAGCCGATGCAGGCAGTTTGTACGAAAAAGCCATTGGAAGCAGCTTGGATTGCGAAATCAGCTGACAGTCTAACCGCTTTTCTCTCACTGCTTTTAAGATTCTTTCTTTGTCTTTAACCTTTGGCATTTTAATTATGATGTGTCTTGGTGTGGGCCTCTTTGGGTTCATCTTGTTTGGGACTCTCTGTGCTTCTCGGGCTTGAAGATCCATTTTCTTCACCGGGCTCGAGAAGTTTTCCCTCATTATTTCTTCAAATAGGTTTTCAATTCCTTGCTCTCTCTCTTCTCCTTCTGGTACCCCTAGGGGGCAAACTTTGGCAAGCTTGATATTGCTCCTTAAACTGTTCTCATTTTTTTTTTTTGATTCTTTTTTCTTTTTGCTGTTCTGTTCAGGTGTTTTCTGCTACTTTATATTCTAAAACACTGATTTGATCCTCTGCTTCATCGAATCTACTGTTGATTCCCTGTAATGTATTCTTCATTTCAGTTATTGTATTCTTTATTTCTGACTTGTTATTTTTTATGTTTTCTATCTTCATTTTAATGTTTGAAAGTTTTCTTTGTTGAATTTCTCCCTGAAATCACTGAACACTCTTATAACCCATGTTTGGAACTCTGCATCTGGTAGGTTCTTTTTGTTTAGTTCTTTTTCTGGAGCTTTGTTCTGTTCTTTTATTTGGGACATGTTTCTTTGTCTCCCCATTTTAGCTGCCTCCCTGTGTTTGTTTCTATATATTAGGTAGGGCTGCTATGTCTCCAGGTCTTAGTAGAGTGGCCTTATATGGTGGGTGTCCTGTGGGGCCTAGTGGCACAGTCTCCCTGATCACTAGAGCCGGGTGCTCCAGGTGTGTCCCTTGTGTGGGTTGTGTGTCCTCCTATTATAGTTGAGCCTTGGTTTCTGTTTGCACACCAGCGAGAAGAGGGATTAACTCTGGGGCTCATTGGTTGTGAGGACTGGCCATGACTACAGTGAAGGAGCTCTTGTGGAGGGGCTGACCCTTGGAGCAGGATCACT